AAAAAAAAAAAAAAAAAACCAAAAAAACTTTAAAGGGACATTTCAAAAGGAAAAAATAAAAATAAAAACTGAAATTCAAATTCTGAAAATAGCTTGCCTTTTTTATTAATCATGTCATCTAACACCAATTAAAAAAACAAATATGTGAATATGATATAAAAATACGATCCCAGGATGAACACTTTGTTGCAGGCACAATTCTCTCACAGAGTATATGTTTGGAGGGCCAGTGGGGGAAGGAGTTTATTTTTGTTTTTGCTTCTCTTAAAAAAATCCACAGCAGTGCAAGTAGGGTCAGGAGGGGAGCAGGGCAAGGATTCTTTAGCAGCAAAATGTCCAAGGTTCTCTAATCACAATCAAATCAACGGATATCGGGTTTAGGGGGGAAAATAAGGACGAAGGGGATGCTGTCCAGACCCATCTGTCATCAATCACTGAGAGACTTCCGTCGCAAAAGCCCCAAATGGTGACGTAAGAAGGACGAGTTTTATTACACGAGCAATCGTAAAGTGTGTCCCTCAAGCTTTTGACCATGTGTGTCACTTAAATATATGTACAGGACTCGGGCTCCTCTCCTCCTCCGTGACCTTGCAGATCTCCACCGTCTGGTCGCTCTGGGTGGGCTCTCGGGGTCTCCCGCCGCGCTGGGCCTCCAACATCTGAACAGCATGTCCGCCGCCGACGCTGCTTCTGCTTGCCTGGCTGGCCTTGGCCTCGAGCAGAGGGTGGGCACGGGGGGGGGCGGTTTAATGATCGCTGTTCTGTTTCTCTCTCATCCAGGCGTGAATCTGTTCTTTCAGTTCTGGCACTGGGAAAAGAAAAGGAGAGGATTAATGCCCCAGGCGGGAGGGCTCCTCCCGGGAGCCACTGCGTGCAGGTCTGTGTACGCGGAAAGACAAGGCCCTTCACTCCCTCACTGACGTGAAGCCTGGGGAAGGCCCAGGCTCCGGCGGCGGAAAAAAGGGCAAAGGATGTCTTGTGTCTTTTCCATCGAGCGTCAGACGCCGCGTGGCTTCTGGATTCGATAGGTCTCCCCTTCTGATTAATCTCGGACACACGACTCGGGCGCCACAGCTGGGCCCGGCGGCCTTGGGCACCGTGACTCTCGCCGCGCCCTCCTCTACCTGGTTCCAGCATGCTCTCTGTCAGCATCTGGCGGTTGAAGGGGTCCGTAGGGGAGTTGAGCAGGTGCCGCAGGATGATGGAGCGGTCCATGATGGTGCCGGAGGGCAGCCGCACCGGGTCGGTCATCAGGGTGTCCATCAGAGGGTCTACGGAGACAAAGCCAAGAGCAAACTCTACTCACAGAGCCGAAAACTGAAAATGAGAGCGAAACAAAGCCTGTCCTGCTTCGCATGGTCCTTCTAGGCCCCCAAGTTTAGCGGGAAGTCAGCATAAGACAGAGGCACACCCGGCGCCCCTGGTGGAGGGGAGAGCACTCTCGTCAGCTACAGCTGGGGGGCAAGAACAGGGGAGAAGGACCAGGGCCATGCAGGAAGCTCCCGCATCTGGGGACTTGCAGGAAATCCCCTCCCGCCAAGGCAAGGCTGATCCTGGAATCTTCCCGGCGGTTTCCTAGTTTGAAATCAAGACAAGGACTTTCTTTTTGCTTCTAATTGATAACAGAAACTAAAAGTAGGCAAATGTAATTTCAGAGAGCGTGCCTCAAGGAGCAACTCTAGCGCACCATGAAAAAAGGAAAAGCACAGAATGCGGTCTTTTTGTGTTACGTGTTTCGAGGTAACTCCAATCAAAGAATTCGGCAGGGAAAGAGTGGTCCGCTTGCCTCTGAACTCGTCTGGGGCGTCGCTGTAGTCGATTTCTGCGCGTGCGTTCTTGGCTACTATCTCCTCCACCTTCTCAGCTAGGAGTTTAAACTTCTCGATCGCTATTGTGGATTTGATCCCTGCCTTCCGCATCTTCGAGATCACTTCCTCAAACAGCTCTTTGCTGTAGGATCTCTGCAAGTGAGGAAAGACGACGGGAGACAAATACATTTTAAGCGGAAAAACACAAGCTGCAGAAAACGCCTAAAGTACAACCCATGTAGGAGCTTCTGGGGGGCTCAGTCGATGAAGCATCCGACTTCAGCTCGGGCCATGATCTCACAGCTCACGGGTTCGAGCCCCGTGTCAGGCTCTGGGCTGTCAGCTCAGAGCCTGCTTCGGATCCTCTGTCCCCCTCCCCTCTGGGCCCCTCCCCGCCTCTCAAAACTAAACGTGAAAAAATAAAACAGCCCTGAAATGATAACACATATATAAATACTCTCACATGACTATGAACGCAGGAAGACTGGAATATACGTATCAAACTGTACAAGGTCATTACCTCTGAGGAGGGCTTCAGGAGTGAGGCAAATGAGGGGAATTTTTAAATAGTGGAATTATCTTACAGTAAACATTCATTTCTTTTAAAATGTAAATGTTAAACAGAAATTGAAAATCAAGTCTGTCTGAGGCCTCGCAAGGCACTGGGCCCTGGCAGCAAACGGCGGCTCTTTCCGCTAAAGGCAGACACGGTGAGAACAGCCCGGCCTGGTTCCCAGTCGACAGGAGCTTTCTCCCGTTCGAGGTCAATCTCTCAGCTCAACGCTGAAGTGTCGGGTGCTCTGCTGACAGGAGCACGGGGGACGGTCTAGAGGACAAGTGCCCACCACAGCTGCAGTGGGACTCGAATTCTGGCTCCACCGTCTCCTCGAGCGCTGGGTGGTCTTAGGCACACCCCTCTGAGCCCCAGTTTCCTTGGGTGTAAAATGGGGGTGGTGACACCCACCTCACAGGTACCTAATTCATAAAAATCATTGCCATTTCAAAATATCACAGTATATCCTAATTCGCATTTCTGGCAAAAACACTGGCCACTTGTCAGTTCAGGGACAGTGATCCAGACGGAGGAGGGGACCGATCAAGACTCCAAGGACGGCATCGTAACCCGCTGAGCGGTCCTTCCCATCCAAGGACTCAGACGAATGTCTGCAGGATGAATTCGTCTCAGGGTCTGTATTCTCTTAGAGTGTGGAACTGATATTCCTCCATCTTTCTTCTTTCCTCTGTAAACCTCAGTCTCTAAGAAAGCGCACGTGTTCACTTCCTGTCTTCACAGGCACCCATGCCCCCTGTTACTTTCATGCACCTGAGGGGGAGACAGAGGGAAGGGCGAACGCTGGCCTCGACCTAGCGGAAATCCTGAAAGCCATCTTGCACAATCCTGAAAAGTTCGGAGAGCCTCCAGTATAGTTCTCTGAAACTAAATTACTGTACTGACCCAGCAGTTACCTTATCTGACATCTACTTATCATGAACCGGAAGCCAGTCTCCGTCTCTTTGGGAAGGGGTGCAGAGGAGAAGTGGCCAAAAGGTCATAGAATAAGAGGTTGGAAGGGCAAAATGAAGATATTTTGCACAGGGGCTTGTTGCTGGTTGGGCACTGCTGCATCAGAGGCGGTTTCACCTTGAACTTCTCTTTGTAACAAGGAGCCACCTGGCCACCCTCGTGAAGCATCACCCATTCTGTTTCTTAAAAGATGACGACTTTTTAACAACTTATGCTTGCTTATAAATCAACTTCTAAGAGCAGCGTGGTGAGCATTGTTAGAAATCAAAGGGAGCCCGCACCGAGGGGACGTGGCATTCAGCCTCTAGGAGCAACGGTGTCAGTGCCTGGAGCAAATGCACGTTACTAAGCTGTCGCTTCGAGTCTGATGTGGGTTGGGTGAGAGATGCAGTAAAGACGCTGCTCTTGACCTCAAAGATGTCCCAGAGTCATTCTAAACTCAGATGTGAAAATATTTACAAATCGTGTATCTGATAAAGGTCTTGTATCGAGAATATATAAAAAAAACTCTTACTATTCAACAACAGAAACATAATCCATTTTTTTTTTAATTTTTTTTTCTTTTTTAACGTTTATTTATTTTTGAGACAGAGAGAGACAGAGCATGAATGGGGGAGGGACAGAGAGAGAGGGAGACACAGAATTGGAAGCAGGCTCCAGGCTCCGAGCCGTCAGCCCAGAGCCCGACGCGGGGCTCAAACTCACGGACCGCGAGATCGTGACCTGAGCTGAAGTCAACGCTTAACTGACTGAGCCACCCAGGCGCCCCAACATAATCCATTTTAAAAAAATGGAGAAGGACTTGGACAGACATTTCTCCAAAGAAGGTATACAAATGGCCAAGAAGCACATGGAAAGATGTTCAACACTATTCGTCATTATGAAAATGTAAACCAGAACCACAGCGAAGTACCATTTCACTCCCACTAGAGTAACTATTTAAAAAAAAAAAAAAAAAAAAAACCACGAAAAAATAACAAGCGTTGGTGAGAATGAAGAAATCGAAATTAGAACAGTTGTACATGATCCGTTCGTACACCGTAGAACACAATGCGGCATTTCCTCAAGAAGTTAAATGTAGTATCACCATATGACTCAGCAATTCTGCTGCTAAGTATATACGCAAAAGAATTACAGACAGGTATTCTAGTGTTTCATCACAAACACTCCGAGCAGCCACATTTATAATAGCCAAAAGTTGGAAACAACTCAAATGTCCACCAATGGATGAATGGAGAAACAAATCGTGGAGTATTCACATAATGAGATCTCACTCAGGAATGAGCCAGTAGGCCATGCACATGAATGAACCTCAAAAACATTATGCTAAATGAAAGAGGCCAGACACAAAAGGTAGTGTATTATCTTATTCCATTTACGTGAAATATCCAGAATAGGCAAACAGGTAAATCCAAAATTATGTAAAACGAAGACAGAAAGCAGATTAATGGTTGCCGAGGGCTGGGGCAAAGGGGCGGGGATGGACAGTGACTGCGTAATGAATATGGCATTTCTTTCTGAGGGTGCTGTTTGGATAAAATGTCGGAACTAGAAAGAGGTGATGGCTTCTTAACACTGTGAATGTACTCAATGCTACTGAACTGCACACTTTAAAATGGTTAATCTTGGGGCACCGGGTGGCTCAGCTGGTTGAGGGTCTGACTCTTGATTTCGGCTCTGGTCACGATCTCATGGTTCATAGAGATCAGGCCGCACGTTGGGCTCTGTGCTGACGGCGCAGAGCCTTCTTGGGATTCTCCCTCTCCTCTCTTTGCCTCTCCCCTGCTTGAGCTCTCTCTCTCTCAAAATAAATACATAAACATAAAAAAATAATAAAATGGTTAGCCTTATGTTATGTGAATTTCACCTCAATTAAAAAAAAAAGGAAACACTGGATGGGAGAAGTGTGACTTCAGATAGGCTCTTTATCTTTTTTTTTTTTAGTGGTTATTTAGTTTTAGAGAGAAAAAGAGAAAGAAAGAGAGAGAAAGCGGGGGAGAGGCAGAGAGAGCAGGAGAGAGAGAATCCCAAGCAGGCTCTGTGCTGACAGGGACCAATCTCACAAACCCTAAAATCATGACCTGAGTTGAAATCAAGAGTCTGACGCTTAACTGATTGAACCACCCAGGCGCCCTGGACACGCGTGCTTAGCCCATTCTTGGTTGGCGGGGAGAGAAGCTCTTCCTTCCTCGCATGGCTGCCCTTTTCTTCATCCTTTGTCTTCCTGCACACACCAGACCAAACCACGGCCGCTGCTCCCGAAGGAGAAAATTGTAATTCTTGCTCCTCTGGAGCTTTGTAGACTTCCACCCTTTCTTCCCCAGTCCTCAAACCCTCTTTCAAATGATCCTCAGGACTCTAATCAGCTTACAACCAATGTAAGTGGAAAATACCCAGCAATCAGAACAAATACCACACCGTAAAAGGAAGCCAAGAAATCCACTTAAAACACTATTCTCTACATTGGGACACTGGCACTCGTGTGCATTTGCTTCCTGAGTCTGGAAGAACAGGGCTGTTTACACACTCAAGAGAACCCATGCACCCCTGGGCAGAGACTGCCATCTGTGACGCAAGCCAGGTGCCACCACAGGCCACCACGACAATCCACAGGCCTTACCGGGTATTGTCCCCCACTTGGTTTTCACTGTCTCGCCGTGTTTATTCACGCTGCAAGGTTTGTGATGTTAACCACTTGTGATGTGGCAGCCACAGCGAGACCACACTTAATGACTCTCCCGAGTGACTTACAGTAAAAGCGCGAGAGTCTCTGGGGACTTTTCGCACCCTGACCTCTGGCGAGGCTAGAGAAGCCCAGCCGCAGCCGGCCTGCTCCCCAAGCAGACACCCCACTCTGGATGGGGGTACTTCCCCATTTCCCCTCTCTCCCTCCAGACTACCACTTCCCCACCATAGTTCTAGAAATGTGCGGTATCACAGGCTGTAGGCTAGAAACACATCTTAGCCCCTCCCACAATAACGGCAAACTCTTAACCCCTCTGATACACTCCTTTCTATGGAAAAACTGCTTCAGACGTGTGTTTTTTTTCCTTTGCAGGCACTTTGTCAAGACCAACTCTCTTGCTTACGTCCCAAAGTACCCACATACGTGAATTATATCTCAATAGAGCTGTTATTAAACAAACAAACAAACAAACAATCAGTACCCAGGGGTGCCTGGGCGGCTCGGTTGGTTAAGCGTACGACTCGATTTCAGCTCAGGTTGTGGGATCGGGCCCTGTGCTGGGCTCTGCACTGACAGTGTGGGGCCTGCTTGGGATTCTCTCTCTCCCTCTCCCCTGCACATGGGCACACATGCTCTCTCTCAAAATAAACATTAAAAAAATAATACCCGCTATTTCCTTATTTTTCTATGATTCCTTTGGATGAGATATGGGTAAAGAACCTTCTAGAATCCCTACTGCTGGTTAACCTGAAACGTGAGTAATATTTGGAGAGAGAGTGTGAACGAAGATGGAGACACAGGTGAGTGTGGAATTTTGGGGCATTTTAAGCAGAAAGCAGAGGGGCTGGGAATATAGGCTCAGGGCCAGACTGACTGGGTCTGAATCCTGCCTCTATCCCATGGCACGGGCGCCACCGGGAGCAAGCCACTTCAACTCTCTGTGCCTCAGTTTCCTCATGTAAAAATAGGGAATCTAATAGAACCTACACCACAGGATTTTGTGAGGACCACATCAACAAAAATACGCCAAGTGGTTAAAACTTGGTATTCGGTTGATAAACAATCAGCTCTTATGACGCTGGTAAGACGTGGCCAGAAGAACATGGAGGGAGAGAAGTCAGAAGGGGGTGGGGCTGGACTACATCGGCAGCTGCGGAAATGCCAAGCGCCAAACTGCATCCTCACAGGGGACACGAGGAATAAAGGAGAGAGAAGACTATGAAGATCACCCCACGAGGTCTGGAACCTGGAATCACAACGGCGGCAGCACTAAAGCGAAGGCCTGGGAAGCAGGCTTGGAGCCCTGGGAAAGCCGGGCCTCTGTGGGAAGGTAATGGGCCTGCTGCTCATAGCAGGACGGGCTAAGAACTCCACTGGAGATGTATCTGGGAGCCAAGTCAGCTCTTTTACACCCAATGAAAAAGAGCTGATCCATCTTCGTTTACGTCAGATAAGCTCCCCTGGCCGCGGTGGTGATTATTTCCATTTGCCGACTAAAAACTTCCCAAACCACAATTTAAAAAGTATCGCCTTTCTGATTTCAAGTGGGGAAAATCCAGGGACAGGTGGGTACGTCACTGCACAGGGTCTGCCCGGAAGTCCACAGAGACGCCACCTCTGGTCGCCCAGCTCAGCAGCCTGAACCCCGGCCTCCCCCCGAAATGGCCTGCCCCCCACCCGGGCACCGACCTGGTCATCAGCAATGGCTTTGGCGAACCGGGCACAGTCCAGCTGCAGGTAAATATCTGTCAGTTGGTCCAACAGCTTCTTTGGTTCAAAGCCGTATTTCTCAGGGTTTTCTACTTTCAGGTCCCGGCACTTGGGGCCACAGAGTTGCTGAAGATTAAAGTTGAGCATTGCAGCCAGTCGGGGTCCCAGCTCCTAGGAAATCACAGGGTAATAGGACAATTCAAGCTGTTGAGACAAGCGAGAAGGACCAAAACTCCCATCTCAGTGGAGGAACAGGAATGGGCCGGATTAATCTGCAGAGAATCCCTTACATGTGCCGTGGATCGTAAGCTGAAGAAGAACGTTCCGCTCAAAATTTTCTTTACTCTCCATCTCTAACCCGATAATTCTAACACTTAATAACGTTGCAGGTTGATGGAATACCTACAAATATCAACGGAAGGGCGACCTTTGCTTTAAATTCATGCTTTCGGTGACAAAAAACAAGGATTACTCCAAATTCATTGAGAAGTAGGTAAGAGGGAAAATCACTCAGAATCCCATCATCATAACGTAAGTCAAAGAAATTTTTGGTATGTTCATTTAGCCGCCATTGTATGTGCATTCGTTTTCTTTCCTTTTAACATTTTACTTTTAAGTAACCTCTACACTCAACATGGGGCTCGAACTCATGACCCCGAGGTCAAGAGTCGCATGCTCCACTGAACTGAGCCAGCCAGGCGCCCTGATGCATTATTTTTCTAAATTTCAAAAGCGTCTGACAGTTCTGACAGGGTGCACCGTTCTTATTATCGGAGGCCAAGAAAGGAGAAATGCAGAAGAAGCAGAAGATAAAGTTTATGTCTTAAATCATCTTAAATGTGGCAGGTGAGAGACAAAGCACACTTAAATGAAACCAGTAGCCAATATAAACAATATGCAAAAACCCACCCGATGTCCCAGTACTTAGTACAGTAGGGCACGTGTGCTTCAAGCAAACCTGCAGGAGGAATCCTGCCTCAGGTTAGACAGTATCAGGCCATTAAAAAAAAAAAAAAGTCACAGAACAAGGTTTTCATTACATTTAATGATTGCACTTATACACATCCAACTGAAATTTGGCTTTTCGAGAACCTGCTTTGCACAAAGTAAAGCGCTCCTGTATTTGACTGTTAGGAAACTGTGGAATACAGGAGTGATAAGGACAGGATATCGTTGGCAGGGTTTTATTTTTCCCCAAGTGGGAGAGGTTTGAGCTAGCCGGTGAAGAAGGCGAAACTGTGTGGCAAAGGAAAAGGATGCATCGAAGCAGGCACAGGCAAAGAGTGCGTGTGGAAGGCTACGGCCAAGGCACGCAGATAGCTCAGGTCAAGGAACGGCCTTGAGGGGCGCCTGGGTGGCTCAGTCGGTTGAGCGTCCGGCTCTTGATTTCGGCTCGGGTCATGATTTCGCAGTTTGTGAGTTCGAGCCCCGTGCTGGGCTCTGTGCTGACACTGTGGACCCCTGTTTGGGATTCTTTCTCTCTCCCTCTCTCTCTGCTCCTCCTCCACTTGAGCTCTCGCTCACGCTCTCTCTCTCTCAAAATAAATGAACAAAATTTTTTTAAAAAGTAGGCCTTGAAAAAAATTAATTTTAGTTGATATGAAAACATTAGACTTTGCTTTCAATAAATTCCTTTAAAAATGAAGAACTCAGAACCAAAAATAGGCTCTATGACAATTTAGTCTCAAATAATTTATTACAGTTCCCTAACAATCAAAGACTTGCTGATTTGGGGTCACTGAACGTAAAATAAAACGTGGTTTGGTGCCGGGATTGGCAAACTGCTACCTGCGGGCCAAATCTGACCTGATGCTTGTTTTCATAAAGTTTTACCGAAACACAGCCACGCTTACTGGTTTCTATATTGTCTGTGGCCGCTTACGTGCTGCAACAGCACAGCTGAGTAGCTGGGACAGGCTGTACGGCCCACGATGCCTAATAATTTACTCTCTGGCCTCCGTAGAAAAAGTTGAAAGGATTTCCATTTGCCAACCCCAGGGAAGCAAGGGTCTGCACTATCTTGTTTAAATTAGTCGTGGTGTCCGTGTGCTTTCAATAGTGAGCTCAGTTTTGTTTCACCTTCCACGGCTCTTTTATAAATAGATGTGAAATGGAAAATGGTGGTGGGGGGGGGGGACTCCTTGCTGAGATGCACACAGGCCA